GGGAAAAAATATTCGCGCAAGATCTGCTTAACATTTTCCTGTGCGGCCCTGTGCGCCCTATTGTGTTCTATTGTTACTATGTCCCGTTGATCGTTTTTATCGTATATGTCCATGACGAAATGCTTGGAGTACCAAAATTTTGTAGACGGAAACGCCTTGACGAGCTCATTCTGGATACAAGCAATAATTGGTAGCTCACAGTAAATTGCATTTACTACGTCAGGTTTTATTGCTTCTCTAACACTCTCCAATAGTTCTTCTTCATTGAAAAAATTTATCAAGTGTCTAGTTTTTTCGCGGAAGATTATAAAAGTACGAGTCGATGTCACATTTGTTCGTTCAATGACGATTTGGTTTCTGAAACAATTCACTGGCTTATCAGTCGCTTCAATTGCATAAGACATTGATAATTCGCTGTGGATGGTGGCTGCGTCAGAGCTAGGCATATTTTCAAGCGCATGAATGTTCTGCCGTGATAGCGCATCGGCTACGTAGTTTTCATTTACTGGCTTATAAAGAATTTGGGCATTATGTTCATCTATGAACGCTTTCCACCGCTTAATTTTCGCGTTGGGGTTTCGGTCTGAAACCGCAAACGACAGAGGTTGATGATCAGTAAAAATATTTAAATTTTTAACACCATATAGATAATTTCTGAGATTCTTTAGAGCCCAAACAATTGCGAGTAATTCCCTTTCATTGGTAGCGAAATTCATTTCGTTGTCTTTCAAGGTCCTCGATATCATAGTTATCGGCTTCCCGCTTTGTGATAGTACAGCGCCTAATCCTAAAGATGACGCATCCGTTGTTAGGTCGAATGGTTTTCCATAATCTGGATGCTGGAGCAAGACGTCTTCCGACATCAAGATTTTCTTGAGCTTGTTGAAAGCTTGACGCTGACTGTTGTTTAGCTCTATTTGTTTTTTCTTCGATTGGTGAGTGCTAACTCTACCATTTTCGCCCTTAAAGATATCTGTAAGTGGCCTGGCTATTGAGGCGAAGTTTCTTATAAAGCATCTGTAATAGCTCGCTAAGCCCATAAATGACCTGACATTAAATAATGTCGTTGGCTCAGTATAGTTTCGAATTGCCTCTATTTTACTTGGGCTTGTTCGAATACCCTCTCCAGTTACCGTGAAACCTAAGTACTCAACGCTTTCCTTAAAGAAATGGGACTTCTCCCGTGAAATCCTCATATTGGCTTCGTTCAACTTCCTCAAGACCCACGCTATGTGTTTAATGTGATCTTCTTCTGTTTTTGAGAATATGATAACGTCGTCGACGTAAACGTGACATGTCTTTCCAATTTGGTCTCGAAGCACGTCATCAATAGCCCTTTGAAATACGCTGGGTGCGTTCTTTAAGCCAAATGGTAGCCTACAAAATTCGTATTTTCCGCTGTTGACCGAAAAAGCAGTTTTCTCGCGATCTCTTTCTGCCAAAACTATTTGGTGAAAGCCAGATTTTAAATCGAGAGTTGTAAAATATTTTCCTTTTCCTAAGTTGGCGAGTATCACCATCACGTTAGGGATGGGATATTTATCGTCTATCGTTTTTTGATTTAATTTTTTGAAATCAATTACAAGACGTTTTTTTGTGTTGCCATGTTCATCAACTCCCTTTTTGTCAACAACCCATATTGGATTATTGTATGGCGATCTAGATGGTCTAATTATACCATTTCTTAGCAAGTCACGCACTTCTTTATTCACAAAATCTGCTACGCCCATAGGATAAGGATATAGTTTCGAATAAATGGGATCGTCACACTCAGTTCGAATGGTAGCTACAATATTTGTGTTGAACGGAAGTAATTCGTCAGGATCAGCAAATACCGTTTGTTCACTTTTTAATAATTTTTGAAATTTTTCGTTAACTTTTTCTGGAATTTTAATATCCTCAATTCGAGTGAAATTTACATTCGCACATTTTAAAAACTGGATCGGTTCTGATCCCGTATTATACTTCAAATTTTTATTTTTAAAATCTATTTTTGCATCGATTTGTGTTAACAAATCGAGGCCGATGATTCCATCAAATTTTGTAAGATCGGGTAATATAAAAAAGGTGCTATTAATATTAAACAGGTTCACGAAGCATTTATCTTTGATTTCATTAAAACCATGTATTGATTTTACTATAAAAGTGTTGCTTACTGGTTTTGTATATCTTAACTCTTTAAGAGGTTTAATGTAATTCTTTGACGCACCGGTGTCAATCAGCAGTTTTATAATTTTCCCTGCAATATTCCGCTCTATGAATGGTAGCAGGGAGTTTCCACTAAAAAATTAACATGGTCAAAACTATCAGCATCGTCATCAATTTCTACTAGTGATTCTTCGGCTAGTTCCTCGTATTTCCTCATTTCTTGTGTTTGAGAAATGCTTTCGTGTGGCATAAAATTCACTCTCTGCATTTTTTGCCCTGTTAATCTTTCAGAGTCATTTTTTCTTTTCATATTTTGGTCCTTATATTGAACCCCGAAAATAGTGTTGTTGTATTTCTCTGACGTATTATAATTACTCCTTTGAGTTTTGGTATTGTTCCAGTGTCTCGTCCTAGATGAGGTTGGATCTACGTCCATTTTTTCAACTTGTCTTTTTTCAGTATTTTGTCTTATAAAATATGGATTTTTGTTTTGATTATCAACTTGATTACTTTTAACGTAATTGCTTACCTGACTATATCTGCCCATACTTCTTTCATTATTTTGAAGCCTTTGTTCAGTTCTATGAGCTTCATCTTCCAGACTCCTCGCGAAGTTGGTTGCGAATTTATAACGCTCATGGTTTGCCTCAACTTCTTGTGCCAGAGCTAATGCTGCGGGTAAATTGGTTGGCTGTGCCGAGAAAAGAATGTTGCTTAAGGCTCTTTTTGTACCTGAAATAAATATGCGCAACGCGTCCATTCTGTATTTTTCATTTAAGGATGCTGCCAAGGTTCCATCATAAGTCATAATTACTTTGTTGGTAAGCAAAGTCAATTTTTGTTCCACTTGTTCATAGAATTGTAAAAGAGTCAGGTTACCCTGACGTAGGGTAGACAGCTCCTGTTCGATGAGGTAAATAGGCCGCTTATCAGCGTATGTGAAGTCAAGACGTGCTATTATAGCTTTAAAATTGAGAACAGTGTTAAAGGATGCTAAAACCATGTCTACTGATCCTTTTATTTTATTTCGTATAATGGCAACTGCCTGGTAATGTTTAGAGCTCCCATTATGGTTTTGAAATAATTTATAAGCAACGTGAGCCGCTTGTCGCCATGACACGTAAGTTTCTTGCCTGCCCTCAAAGTCAGGCAGAGATTTGACAATGTCAAGTGATTCTTCACATTTTATTCCACTGATTATTCTTGTTTCCTCATAGATTTCTACATCCGGGGTATTTACTGTAACTTTATTTAGACGTTTACTTAACTCATCTAATTGTTTTTCAAAGATTTGCCTCTGTGAGGCAAGAGCACCACTAACGGCAGCCTCAATTACGGCTTTCAGCTGGTCTTCATTCATTTTTTCACTATGAACAACTCTATGGCGTTCCTGTATATGTTTAAGTTTCTATTGCAGAGCCGTTATTGGTAATAGGTTTCTAATAAAGAGTTTGCAAGGGAGGGCTATCGCAACAATAATAATACAAAAATAA